TAGAAGATTCCAACCTTCTAGCCATCTCTGCCAAGTCACAGATCACATGAGTAAAGTCATCCTAAACACTCCCTAAAAGCCCCTAATCAGCTGAATACCAGAGAGGAACCTCAATCCATGTCACATGAAACAGAATGGTTCAGTCACATGCTCCCAAAATAAACATATGGTTAGACAAAGACTTGTGTATGGCAAGATATATCCCTGTGTGTAGTCAGATACACTGTGTGTGATCATATCAAATACTTATGTATACACATAAGCATTCATATGGGTAGTCAGATACTTATCCATATGTTTTTGGAAATAGACCTCTCTGTGTTCACATATAGACACATATATGAAATTGGATATATACCTACAGATCACTGAACAATGTACCTATATATAACCTGTAATTATACAGAGCTACATGAGGTCAGATAGAGATCTCTGTGGTTGAATACCTACTTGTGTATTGTCAAATGTAGGTCTATGAATTTTTAATGCAAACACACACACATGCCTCTGAGTATTGTGCAAAAGACATTGAGCCCTTTCTGATCAGCTCATTGAAAATGTGAACAAACTGAGGGTTATGGAAGGGGAGGTCAGTGGGGGGATGTGGTAACTGGGAGATGGGCATTAAGGAGGTCATGTAATGTGAAGAGCACCGGGTATTACATACAACTGGTAAATACATCTGAAACTAATGATGTACTTTATGTTGACTAATTGAATTTAAATTAAAAAAAGAAAATATGAATCAAATGTAAATAAGACAAGCGACTATTTAATTAATAAAACCAAAAGTCAAGATTTATGTACATTCTATGGAAATGATTACAAATTTACTGAGACATTGATCAAGCCTTCACAATACATGTCTCATTCTGGATGGGAAAACAAGATATGAAAACATGCCATTTTCCTCAAAATCAATGTGGAGGGTCATGAAATTCTAAATATAGATTTATGGGAAGGTTTCAAACTTCACAAAATAATCCTAAGGTTTATCAGGAAAAATAAATATTGAGAAACTTCAAAAGAATTGAAAAGGCTGAGTAATTAAAGGAGATTATTCCTACAAGGTATAAACACCTTAAAATCCTTGACTACTGACATAGAATGTTAGTGGTAGGGAAATACACCAAAGGAAAAGGAGGAGGAGGAGGAGGGAGCAGCACAGGAGGAGGGGAAATGGGCCACAAATCTAACAGACTAATTGTATAAAATTTGACATATTAAATAGAAAATTTTAAATTATTACTAAAATTAATAATAACCTTGGAAGATTATTTTTTCCTGTTTAAGGAAAACAGGCTTAGATTTGTCCTTATAACAAGCAAAAATAAATCCTAGATCACTTAAAATGAAAACATTTTTGAGAGTTATTTTTATTTTTAAACAGATGATAAAATTTATAAATTCACCAAATGAAAGTAAATGAAATTTTCCAAGAGTGATGGGATAGAAGAAATCAAAATTTAAAGAATATGGGAACATCATTATAGAAAAACACACATAATTACAACATAAAAAAGTAAATGTTTTGAGCAAATATCAAAGAAGACTATTGTAGCAAATGTATATATTTAATGTAGAAAGAGTTCATGAAAATTCATCAGTAAAAACTCTTCAAGAGATCAATAATTCAAGAATGCAAGTAACTGACAAAGTTCATGGAGTGGATTCTATGTCACACATTGTGCAAATACAGAGTATAAAGACAGTTAAGTAACTTTTCATGGCTTAAAAGAACTTATAGAATAATTAACATAGACAATCAAGATTTTTTTTTAAAGATTTTATTTATTTGACAGAGAGAGTTCACAAGTAGACAGAGAAGCAGGCAGAGAGAGAGAGGGAAGCAGGCTCCCTGCTGAGCAGAGAGCCTGATGTGGGACTCGATCCCAGGACCCTGAGATCATGACCTGAGCCAAAGGCAGTGGCTTAACCCACTGAGCCACCCAGGTGCCCGACAATCAAGATTTTTATCTCATCACTTGCAATAACAGTACAAATTTGGAAATTAACTAAATGTCTAAGTTCATTTGGGCCACTTTAACAGAATACCACAGACTGATTGGCTTCAACAAAAGTCATTTATTTCTCACAGTTCTGGGGTCTGGGAAGTCCAAGATCAAGACATTTGCAGATTCCATATCTGGTGAGAGCTTGCATCCTAGTTCATAGATAACTGTTTTTGCTGTGTACTCACATTGTAGAAAAAGCAAGTGAGGTCTATGGTGTCATTTTTTTTGTAGATAATTCATGTTGCTTTTATTTAGAATAAGAATGAATCATACAGTTCTTCAACAGTGAATTTATCATTCATAGTATATGCTTAAGTTGAAATTACTATAGATTTTTCTTTTTTTTTTCATTTTATTTCATTTCTTTTCAGTGTTCCAGAATTCATTGTTTATGCACCATACCCAGTGCTCCATGCAATATGTGCCCTCCATAATACCCACCACCAGGCTCACCCAACTCCCCATTCCCCTCCCCTCCAAAACCCTCAGTTTGTTTCTCAGACTCCACAGTGTCCCATGTTCGTCTCTGCCTCCAATTTCCATGATACCCCTTCACCTCTCTTCCAATGTCCTCCATGTTATACCTCATGCTCCACAAATAAGTGAAACCATATGATAATTGACTCTCTCTGCTTGACTTATTTCACTCGGCATAATCTCTTCCAGTCCTGTCCATGTTGCTACAAAAGTTGGGTATTCATCATTTCTGATGGAGGCATAATACTCCATAGTGTATATGGACCACATCTTCCTTATCCATTCATCTGTTGAAGGGCTTCTTGGCTCCTTCCACAGTTAGGGGACTGTGGCCATCGCTGCTATGAACATTGGGGTAAAGATGATCCTTCTATTCACTACATCCGTATCTGTGGGATAAGTACCCAGTAGTGCAATTGCAGGGTCATAGGGTACCTCTATTTTTAGTTTTTTGAGGAATCTCCACACTGTTTTCCAAAGTGGCTGCACCAACTTGCATTCCCACCAACAGTGTAAGAGAAATTCTCCTTCTCCACATCCTCTCCAACACTTGTTGTTTATTGCCTTGTAAATTTTGGCCATTCTAACTGGTATAAGGTGGTATCTCAATGGGTCTTGATTCGAATCTCTCTGATGGCTAATGATGACATACATTTTTTTCATGTGTCTGTTAGCCATTTGTATGTCTTCTTTGGAGAAGTGTCTGTTCATGTCTTCTGCCCATTGTTTGTTGGATCTTGGATATCAGCCCGTTGTCTGTAGTGTCATTTGTGATTATCTTCTCCCATTCCATGGGTTGCCTCTTTGTTTTGTTGACTGGTTTCTCTTTTTAAAGAGACAGTAGTCACATTCATGAGAGCTCTACCTTCATGACCTAATCAGCTCCCAAACACCCCACCTCCAAATATCATGAATTATAAAGAATTTAATGAATTTTGGAGGGAACACAAATATTCAGTCTATAGTGACATCTAAAACTGATGACTTAATGACATAACTTCTGTTTACTATTATTTAATGATAGTGTCTTATTTGGGAAGAATTTGAGATGACATAAGAAATCTCCATGTAATAATAATTGATATAAATTGGGATATAAAGTTTCTCATACACTGTGACTTACCAGTGAAAAGGCTCTATTCCCCATAGCCAGGGCACCCCATGAATCCATACTAAATAAGGGAGGCATAAACATGAGTTTCTTTGATCACATACTTCCTACACTATTAGTGGCAGATAACATTTTCTTTCAAACCTCAGTCAGAGAGAGGGAGACTTATGAAAGAGATCTCTGTTAAAGAAATCAATACATATTATGACCTCTTTTTACTCAATAATCTTCATTCCACTAAGAGAAGAGGTAAAAGTGGCATGCCATATTGTCAACATCTTTCTTACAAATGATATCACCCAAAATATCTGGTGTCAAGTTCTGTATTGCATACTCAAAGCTCATGAAGTATGGATTATGTTAATTCCACAAAAGAAAGGAAGGGCCAAGGTCCCTAAAGAAGGCAATGAAATGCTGTAAGCAAAAGTACAGATGGGGATACTGAAAAATAGCAGAGATACTATCAAATATTCTAAACTATAAGGGAAGATTAATGGATCATCTCAATGAAAATACAACACGGAACAAAGGCGCTCCACATGAGGAGATAATAGGATTCCCCGCTTAGAAAAATAAGTAAGTCTTATTGATCATATCTAGGTCTTTTGTTCGGATTTTTTCCTTGCCATAACTTCTTTATGAGTAATATTATAATGCGGAAGAAGAATTCCTTTTCAATCCTATTAGCTAAGTAATATGAACAAAATTACATACTTAACCATCTTGCAGTTACAAAAATAAGATATATACTTCAAGTATTAAGTATGAGTTGTCTTTGTATGGGAGGAGTGCACCAAGTGTTTATGCCCCATTTCTGAAAATCTTTCTCTGAAATATATAATGAGCATTATTAATTCTGAAAAAGAACAATTGGATAAAAGAGAAGCATGTGAAAATTGTCCAGTAATGAAAATAAAGGTACAATATTTATTATAGCAAAACTCATCATATAGAACACAAACCTATAGTTTCAATAGAAACATTTTATGCCCAAAAGCTACAGACCTATTTTCCTAACAATTTATGAAAGTCTTAGAAATCTTTTTTTTTTTCAAAGATTTTAATTATTTATTTGACAGGGAGAGAGAGATCACAAGTAGGCAGAGAGGCAGGCAGAGAGAGAGGGGGAAGCAGGCTCCCCGAGGAGCGGAGAGCCCGATGTGGGGCTCGATCCCAGGATCCTGGGATCATGACCTGAGCCAAAGGCAGAGGCTTAACCCACTGAGCCACCCAGGCGCCCCTTAGAAATCCTTTTTGATCATTATAATATTTACACCGTAAATGCTTTCATCATACACAAGTTCATTAAACCTGAGGAGAAATTCATTACAAATAGATAATCCTTTCCTGGATGGAGTAACTCTTCATCGAAAAAAGGTGAAAATTTCTCTTCAGCATCATTTTCTTCTTCTGGTCCACAGCTTTTTCATAGCATTTTTTATCTCTCCGTTTCTCAGAGTATAGATCAGAGGGTTTAACATAGGGGTGATAACTGTGTAAAACACAGTCAAGGATTTATCAATGGGTAAAGTAGAAGGAGGTCTCACATACATAAAAATGCAAGGGACAAAGAAGAGGACCACCACTATAATGTGAGAGCCACAAGTGGATAAGGCTTTGCGCCTCCCTTCCTGACTATGGGTCTTCAGAGAGTGCAGAATGACCCCGTAGGAAATGAGTAAGACTGTAAAGATGACCACACAGATTGCTCCATCATTGGCAACTACAGTGAGACCAATAACATAGGTGTCAGTGCAGGCAAGTTTTAATAACGGGTACATGTCACAGATAAAGTGGTCGATGACATTGGGACCACAGAAGGGAAGGTTGTAAACAAAGAGAAGTTGAACAACAGCATGCAGAAAACCTCCAACCCAGGCCAACAGCAACAACAGAATACACACCCGTTGATTCATGATTGTCAAATAATGCAAAGGTTTGCAGA